CTCTCTGCTTATGCTGATGTCTGCATAAGCAGAGAGTGCTTGCTGCGCTGTCCTTAGACCGTAAACGTGACAAAACTATTCAGGAAAAAACACGCCTATATATTGTTTATCATGACTCTGGTTTTACGTGGCCTATCAACACAGTTTAAAAACTGGTATATATCACCTTGTTGCTTCGTCATCTTGAAGTGGTCATGTGATTGGCTTACCACAACTACTTCATTCTTCCTCAGTCAAACAGCAGCACTCATGCGATTGTTTTGTCCCCTTAGCTCCAGGTGTTGTGCTAGACAGTGATCGTGATTACCGTCCGCGGGAGCACGCACAGCTGCTTAAAGCTGTAGCGTCCAGATTACTTACAGCTACTTCCGTGCAACTGATATAAGATGCGGTAAGCTGAACACAGCTTCAACCGTCTGTTTGTTGAAAAATAGTAACGCGACCGCATTTTCTTCTTAGTAACTGTAACGGCGTTGTAACGATAGGAATAGTAATTAGTTAGATTACTCGTTACTGAAAAAAGTAACGCCGTTACTTGTAACGCCGTTATTCCCATCACTGCTAATGTCTCTCTCTTTAAAACCAATTTGTAGTTAAAAATAGATGACTTTCATTTTTGTTTATTAATATTTTTATTTCCATTTAACTATAATTGTAGATTCATTTTAGAATTATTTGTTCCTTGCCTTTGAAATTAATAACTTTTTTTCTTCTGTGTATAATTTGTTACAGTTTTTCTTGTTAAAATGATACTTTATGGCATCCTGTCATTTAAACCTTCTCCTTTTCCCTACATCCAGGTTTCACGTGGACAAACTGTCCTCAGCTCATGTATATCTGAGAATGCCAAAGGTAAGCATAAGCTCACCCAACAAGAATGACCCTGAAAAACAGACTTTTAAATAAGAGTTCACGCTCCTGAGTTTTTTCTCGGAACTGGCAATTTATTAAGAATCTAATTCTCAGAATAACTCTCATTAAATATAACAGTCGGTTCTCTGTTTTTGGTTGTGTCAGCGACACTCCACATAAAAATTCTATGGAAAATATTTGACAGTGATGTAACTATTATGTGATTAATTTCTAGGGTCAAACCATTGATGATATCCCACCAGAGGTGCTGATAGACTGCGCACAACTGGTGAAAAACAACAGCATCCAAGGTAAAGAGAAAATACTTTCACCCTTAAGCCTGCAGGCTGGCCTGAGAGATCCTCTTGTACAAGTTTCTGCCTGCTGTTATTTTTACTGGGAGGAATTTTGTATGCAGATGTGGTTAAACTTGACGTGTTACATGTTTTCAGGCTGTAAGATGAACAACATCAATGTGGTTTACACACCGTGGGCCAACCTGAAGAAAACAGGAGACATGGATGTTGGACAGATCGGCTTTTATCGACAGAAAGAGGTCAGCAGACCTGGCTTCATGTACGCTGATGGATTATTATGCAGCAATCAGTGTAATACTCTAACATTACATAGTATTTTTAGGCAATTTTATGTGTTCACTAAACTGGCTTTGTGTTCACAGGTAAAGATTGTGGCAGTGGAGAAGAAGATCAACGAGATAATAAACCGTCTGGAGAAAACAAAAGTGGAACGGTTCGCTGATCTGGCAGCAGAGAAGGAATCGAGAGATCAGGAGGAGAGGAACGAGAAGAAAGCTCAGCTGCAGGAGCAGAAGAGGAGAG